TCTCATTCTCTCTCTCAAATAAATAAATAAAAAGAAAAATAAATCTTTAAAAAAAAAAAAAAAAGTTTGCCTGATTTATTTTCCTTAAGGACAGAAATATAATTATCTAAAGAATTTCAATATTTTCTAAATTTAGGCAGTTTAAGAATACATTGAATCTTTGGGTTATGATTTCATGTGATAAGTAAAGTTCAAATACCTCTTTCAATAAGAAAAAGACATTTTTACATAAAGTTAAATGTGTTCTGAACTCACAAAGAAGCAGCTATTGGCTAATACAAAAAGAATTGTTATTGCTTAAAAGGCAAACATAAACTTATCTCCAGCAGAAAAGAACAATTATATTAATTGAGCCTGGAGGTATTGTTGTGTTGTCAAGAATAATAATCTGTTTTAATGAGGGCTTCACTTTTAATCTGACAAAATATGATGATGAGGCTGGCTCCCTGGTATTAATCCAAGCTTTGCAAAAAACAAACATGTAAGACTTAGGAAATCCAAATCTTGTACTGTGTTTACTATATCTAAAATCGTATAGCCAAGACAGAAATAGCTTACATGAATAATTAATTTGTACTAAACACCGTAAACTCATGAATTTACTTTTGTTCTACCCTAATACAGATCAGTGGTCCTTCAGAGAATTCTAACAGACGTTTGTTTACTTCTTCCTGACTTTCTTCATTTTAACATATCAAATAGTTACAAATATTTATATGATAACCTGTTATAGATGCAACAAATACAATCACTCTAAGAGAAGGGGAAAGGGAAATATTTTTTCTTTGACTTTAAACTCAAATTGTGACACAGTTTGTGCGAATCTCTTACGTATGTCTTATCCGTCTTTCACCTAAACAGGTTTTTTTAATCATTTGAAGAACATCATTAAATTTATACTTTTAGATTCACTTATGAGCATTGCTCTGGTAAGATGAGGCCCATGTATCTGCAGGTCAAAGACTACTTTGAAAACAAAGGAAACACTCCATTTCCAAGTGACTGTGCCCTTTCTAAAACCTAAGAGGAAAGTGCCACATAGTGGGACAAGCCAGGGCCAAGAGCTGCTTCCAGGCCTTGCAAGAGCTTTTCTGGCAACCTGAAATATTGACAGAGAAGTCGCTGGGTCCCCCTCTTCTTGCAGGAAGTCTCCATTTGGCAGGCATGTTTTAATTAGATTTTTTTTTTTAAAGATTTTATTTATTTGACAGAGAGACACAGCGAGAGAGGGAACACAAGCAGGGGAAGTGGGAGAGGGAGAAGCAGGCTTCCCGCTGAGAAGGGAGCCCGATGTGGGGCTCGATCCCAGGACTCTGGGATCATGACCTGAGCCGAAGGCAGACGCTTAACGACTGAGCCACCCAGGGGCCCCTTAAATAGATTATTTAAACTAAACCTGCATGCTACAAAAATGTCCCAACTCTAACTGATTTGCAGGTCTGTTGTTAGTATATTTGTAGTCCCCCACCCCCCAGCCATTTACTAATAAGGAAGCAAAAATACGCCCTTTGGGAGTGGCATCTCACATCTGTTAGAGGCTATTGAGGCGGCCCTGTGGAGGGAAGGGGACCAGCACAGGCTTTGGATCTGAAAGATCGGAGAGGTGGGTTCCTACTCTACCATCTACTAGTGGCATCATCTGAATAAGCTATTTAACCTCTCAGGGTTTCCTCACTTGTACAATTGGGAAAACTCCACTTCCTTATGGAGTTCCTGGGAGAATGAGGAACCATCTCTGCCCAGTGCTGGGCACAGAGGATGCTCTCGATAGCAGCTCTTGACTTTACCTCTCCCCTGTGTTCTGTCTGTGTTGCTTTTGTGGGGGTTACGGTGGTGCTGGTTCTTGTTTTGCCTTCACAAGCAGGATCTTCCCAAATGGCAGTGCGTGGTACCCCAGACCCTTGCTCGTGGCCTCCACCACTAGTTCTCCACGGGGGATGGCTTTGCCCCCAAGGGGACATTTGACACTGTCTGCAGATGTGTCTGGTTGTCACAGCTGAGTGGGGGAGAGGGAGAGGTGCTCCTGGAATCTAGTGGAGAGGGCCAGGGATGCTGCTAAACATTCTACAAGGCACAGAACAGCCTTCCCTCCCCCAACAAGGAATTATCCAGCCCAAAATGGCAATCTGTGCTGAGGTTAAGAAACCCCAGCCTACACAATAAGCATAATAAATTTCAGAGGCAGGGAAACCATAGCAACAGTCAGGATATTCATCATAAATTTCGAACTATCCATGAAGGGAATGAAGGACAGTCTTAGAAATAAGCATAAAATAAGTACAAAAAACTATTGAACAAGCTGCCTTATAGGTGGGTGTGGGTGGGTGTGTTTGTGATTTATTTTGAGTTTGTCTTCTTTTTTTTTTTAACAGTACAGCCATTCTTGCTTCAGATATATAGATATATATAAATATCTGTAAATTAGGGTCTACATTGCAGATATCAAGAAGAATTTGATAGCAACAGGAGTAAAATACTGATACTTCTAGTTACACAGTGTTTGAACCTTAGTGTTTACTGCAGCAGCTCAGAAGCTTGCCATGTGTTACCTTTTAAAGCACAGTAAAGTAAAGTATTTTTAAATAGACAACGTAATAGAGCCAGGTTATCCTGGGTTGTATTACAAAAGCTTAGCACATCTATTTTCTCTTGTCTGCTCTGTTTAAGTTAACTACTGCCCCCTGCAGGTGTTCTAGTCTCCCTCCCATAAAGTAGAACCGTTGCTTCATATGGAGTATGTATTATTTCTTACACATCTTAATTCTTACAGTTGTGTTTCCATATGATAGATGAAAGCAAAAAGAGAAGATGTGTTGTAATGGTCCATCGGAGGTGTTACCATTCCCAAGACTAGTCTGCAAGTTCTCAGTTTCTGACATTTAGTCTTGGCACCATGTTAGCATTGATTAGGTTTAATGGAATGGATTCCCAGTATATGAACTCACAAGAAATTGATATTTTTAGGATTTTCTTGGATGCAGATTTCTTCCTAAGATTAGTACTAGGATGATTATGTCCTCACTGAAAGGGACCCTCCTTCCAGTATCATGGTGACTGGGTGTTGTGGCCAGTCCCTAGAGTTGGAATGGATCACCACCAAAAATTTGGTTTGGATTTCCAAACCGACAGAATGAAATAAGTGATCATTTCTAGTCCAAGTTTGTTTTTGTGTGTGTGTGTGTGTTTGTGTGTGATGAAGTCAATGTTCTGCACCACCAATTTGGAATAAATGGGGATTTGCCCTGTATAAAAGGGGCTTTCAGTGATTCCATCAATCTTCAATCCCCTGAATTAAAAGTCTTAATATGGGCATGTACGTATCTAAAATCTGAACAGACTGGACACATAAGATTAGAACACTTCATACTTTGGTATACAAGAAGGTTTACCAGGTTTAATGTATAAAAAGGTTTATTGTATATACTTCAGTGTATAAAATTTTGATTAAAAAATAAAAGAGAGAATCTGTGATATAATCCAAGCAGGAACTGGACTAAAGTTAACTTTGTTTTGAAGGCAATACCATGCACACTAAGCATTAAACCACTTCAGAGTTTTTCATGGACCCTTTGTGTTTTTGAGATACCTATGGACACAGAGCGCAACTTAGCTGCTACTTTTTAACTGATTCAAGCTGGCTCTCCCACCCTCAATGACTTTTACTAGTGTACTATGTGTTTTAAAATAAAAAGCTTATTTGTATTTTTAAAAATTCAGAAAGTCTTGTTCCCTTTTGAACTGAAGTGAATAAGATCATCTAACTCTACCATATTTTGGTTTCTCACTTGACGGCATGGTATTTTCAAACCACTGCAAGAAACAAAAAACCAGCCCAGGGAACATCTGGGGTAGAAGGAGGTAAAAAACGGGAAGAAGGGATAAAGTCTAGTAGCAACCAGCATTCTACTCTCTCCCCAAATTTCTTGAACAAACAATGGATATATAGTTTCCCTGCTCTCTCATGATGTAAAAAATGCCAGAAAATATACTTAATTTATAATAAGGTAATAACTTGGTTTGTTTTTATGCTATTCAATTGACTTATTTGAAATAGAATTTTTGAAAATCATTTGTGGGGGTAAATGTCTAATCCCATAAATAAAAATGATGGAGATCATTTGAACTACTGAGAACCTACATTTTCTGTTTAATTTCTAAAAATACAGAAAGGATTGGTGTTACTGAAACACTATGTAAGCATCCCAGGAAAGAGACAGACTTTGGCTCTCAGGCCATGGTCTTCTAACAAATGCCAACTGGCAGTAGAGAAAAACTCACTTAATCCTTGACATAATGTATTAAAAAAAAAAAATTTGACAGGATAGGCAAGGCTGTGGTTGGGAAGTCAGGTCTGAAGTCAGTGGAGGCAACAGCAAAGACACCCAAATTCTGCTTTGTGCTTGGTTTCATAGGAACAGAAGGGGATTTAAGGCTGAGTCTGAAAAGAATCCTGAGTTGAGGTTCTGCATAGTCTAGGCTTTTAAGCTCGGTGACAGAATTTGGTGCGTCTGAGTCCCCAGAAACCAGAACCAGGGGTGATTATAAAGCCACAGCATGGCCTCAGCAAAGGCTGAGGAGGAATGACTGAAATCTACAAGGTCCTAAAGAATGTCATTGACCAGGTGAACAAGAAAAACCCTGAAAGAGGGGAGTGACAGTCAAAGGAAAGGCCCTCTTTTAAACAGTAAGCTACAAACTTAAGAATCTCATCAACTCAGTAAAAATGGAAATGTTAGGTAATTTCTTCCTCATGTTGGTGAATTCATAGATTTTAGATGCATAATGAATTTTAGGGAACACAGATAAGTGGAGGGTTATCTTCCCAGTTAAAACGAAGAAGGACAAGCATCCCCGCTCTGTCGGAGGCAAACGGGAGGAAGGCCCAGGCTTTGGGCAGATGGAGATGGACTCCTGTGGCACTCCGGTGTCCATCCCATCCACAGGTCTTAACCGTGTCCCTACCACAGGGCAGGTGCCAGGCTACATGCACTACAAAGGCGATAACACAACCCACCCCCCCCCCCCGGAGCAGCTAACAGGCTAGCGGGAGGAGACTGGACAAGGACACACCTCATTCTGAAGTTATTTCCCGGAGTTCTCCATGAGGTCCTGCATCCTAGGTCCATCTTGTATTCACCCAACTCAGAGTGTAACAGCTACTTGCATTGAAAATGTCTTTCTTCAGGAACAGCTGGGGTTTAGATAAATCTCTGTAACTATGAAAAAGCCTGAAACCCTTTAGTTCTAACTCTTTGAGGAGGCTGTACCAGAATCGCACGACACTGCTGTCCCCACCACTGACCTCAAACCCGGGCCAGTGGAGATGAATCTCAAAGGTGAGCTGTCCAATTTGTTCCAGGACATCTTCCAGAATAAGATTTTCTAAAACTTTCCATTCTGCACTCTCCAGATCTGCTTTGAGAACATCAATCTGTAACAAAATGATGCAACGAGATTAGCAGATTCAATAAACGTTGTTAAAAATACCATCTTGACATCAGGAGCATCGCTGTATAACTAACGACCTCCTACAAAAGCAGAATGTTTCAGATTTTAGAGTTAGAGGTCTTTTTCAATGGCCACTAATGACATGAGTTTCTAACCTCACTCCACACCAAATGTTAATACACAAATAATGAAATGCCAGTCGGAAATCATAAAGGACCCTCCTACTTTCTGCCCAGTGGGAACGGATGCCTGAGAAGGAGATGCTGGGGCATGTGTTTCATGGAGCTGCATGCCCACAGCCTCTCCCCGACAGCCCAGACTCTGCTCACAGGAACCCAGCCATGTCAGGACAGCACGGTGGCCCATAGGGAGGCCCGGACAGAGGGCCGCCGTCTGCCGGGACCACCTCACAAACCTCAGCCCCCTCCAACTTCTCAGGACTGGAAGCCAGGGAGAGTTCTCAGGTATCTGAATATTAGACTTGTAAAAAAAAAAAGATTATTATCCCATGATTTCTTTTAACAGTATACACCAGCACAGCATCCTAAAGCGGGGGAAAAAAGGCAACACCATTCTCTGTTCGTTTAATGAACCTAAGTTCACACTCTAGGTAAGATGAAATATAGGGAGAAGAGTAGGATAGGAGAGATTTTGCAATTAATTAAGAGAATCAGCTCATTTTTGCTGGCTTTGCTATTAGAATAACAGAACCCCAAATGCCTCCAGAAAGCAATGAAAGCTAATTACTTACTGAGTGCTTGTATGCGCCTGGCACCATGCAAAGTGCTTAGCTTGCAATATCCCTTTACTCCTCTCAACAATTCTGCAAGGCTGATTCTGTTGCTATCCCTGTTTGAAGTTTAGGAAACCAGACTCAGAGAGTAACCTATCCCCAGTCACACAGCTGGAGAGGCAGTGGTGACATGTGAACTGAGTCTGTCCACATGGCCCATGTTCTAACCCACTACACGATGCTGACTCCCCATAAACCACAAGACGAAAAATGGTAACTCAGATTCCCTAAAAGGCTTTTGGTTTAGAAAATAAAGTGCCATTAGAGAGTGAATGAGGCCCCATGAGTAGAAGTCTTGTTATCAACATCCCCAGTTTACATTTGCAGAGCAGTTTACAGCTTACAGAATTACTTTCTACATACATAATCTCAGCGAAACAGCCCTATGTGCAGACGAGGCCTTGGTAAAAATGACTTTGGGCTGCCGACATTGCTTGTGTGATTTCAGAGTTGGGTGGAGGAGAAGATGGGTAGGATTTAGACATAACTGCTCCAGGAAAATGGTCCTTGCCCAGTATCCTTACATCCCAAGGGAGATGCCTTCTTTCACTGTCTTGCCTTGGACAGTAGCACCTTATGGTCTTGGTAACACCCCAAGAATACCAAGAGGCCTCAGAATCATCTAGATATCTGTAAACTAGCCTGTCCAAACTCAAAAGAGAAAAAGTAAAATGAAAAACAAAAGACTTTCTTTTCTGAAAGGAACCAAAGGCAGATTCTATGCAAACATGCACAAGGCACAAGGCTAAGATAATTTTTGTGAATTGGACACAAAAGAATTAACTCACTCTTTTTTTTTTTTTTTCATCTCTGCAGCCCTGCCACTTTCTTGACTTTGTTTAATCATTGAAATTTTAAGCAGAATATTCTTGAATTGGGGTAATTAAACTGCCAAAAGAAGTATGTATTTAAAACTTTACAAAATTGTCTAGTTAGTACAGAAAATAGCCAAAACTCAAAATCAACATTTCATGTCAATTGACATAGTTAAGAATTTTTTAAAATCCTTATAGATGTATTTCTACCATGGTTTTCTGTGAGTTCACATGTTGAATGTGATCAATACATCAAACTATTAAGGGACAGGGCAAAGTTAATCAGCCTGCAACTGACCTAAAAACTACACTGGTGAATATAGAGGAATATATGTTTCATATTTTTTTCCAAACATTTTTAAAATAAGCTATCAATCAGAAGTTATGAGCAACAGAAAAAAAAACAAATTAGGATAAATCATAGCAAATATATGCTTACTGTGAAAATCCAATTTCACTTACAAAATGTTGTCCTATCGAAAGAGCAGAAAGTATTTTCAAATACGACCATATTGCCAACCCCTTTTGATTCCAATGACTGGAAATTCTCCACTTCAATCAGAACCGAGTAGGTGGATCTAAATCACACGGCCAAGGATGGCGCAGGACCGAGGAGCTCATAAACTTCTTCCCTGACTTCCAGCCTGAAAGCACAGCCAGCCAAATGCTGTGAATAAAACATGGGTTTCTTTCCCTCTGTGCTTTTTCCATTTTTTGTGTTTCAGGATGTTCTCTCACCACAACTATTTTGCAAATGTAATTTCCATTATTACTACATAATGCACCCAATATTATTGTTTGTATAAGGCACTAAACATTTCTGCATCAGGTACACCTCTTTTAAGACTCTAACATCAGTTTTCAACAATCATGGCCCTAAAAATCATTACAAAAAATGATTACATCGGAATAATCAAGCGCCAATCCAAATCCAGTCAGGTTAAATCAGGTTTCTTGAGAAATACAACGAGGTGTTAACTCTGTGTAAACTCTGCAATAACGAAAGACATATTCTTGGGTGGAAGGGTCTCGAAGAAGGTAGATCAAACAACGTATCTGCTACAATTTCAGAGGCATTAAAAAGGTCCTCCTATCAAAGAGTATCTCCTTTCCCTTGTGCCTGAAATACCCAATAAATCTCCTTTCCCAGAACTTTTTGAGGAAATGAGAATTTTAATTTTAACTGGATTAAGGTGTGAGGCCGTTTGGCAGCCCCCACATCACGGGCACAAGCTTCTGTCTGCATTCACCCACCTGGAACTGCAGAGATGAGAAAAAGGAGGCAAAGGGGCACTGGTCTTTGTGCTAGTTTGCTAGGGCCGCTATTAAAAAGTACCACAAATTGTGGGGCTTCAGCAACACTAATGTACTGTCTCATAGTTCCGGAGGCTACACGTCTGACATCGAGGTGTCCAACAGCATTGGTTCCCCCGAGAGCTACACGGGAGACTTGGTTCTGTGCCTCTCCCCTAGCTCCTGCTGGCTTACTAGAAGTCTCTGTCATTCCTTGGCTTCTGCATTACTCTGATCTATTTCTTCATCTACAGGTTGCCTGCACCCAAATTTCCCCTCTTTATAAGGACACCAGTCATATTGGATTAGGGGCCCAGCCTATATCAGTATGACTGACTTATTTATTTATTTATTTATTTATCTATCTATCTATCTATCTATTTATGTTTAGAGATTTTATTTATTTATTTCTCAGAAAGGGAACACAAGCAGGGGGAGTGGGAGAGGGAGAAGCAGGCTTCCCGCTGAGCAGGGAGCCGATGCGGGGCTCGATCCCAGGACCCTGGGATCACGACCTGAGCTGAAGGCAGATGCTTAACAACTGAGCCACCCAGGCGTCCCATTATGACCTCACTTAAGCTAATTACAGCTGCAGTGACCCTATTTCCAATGAAGGTCATATTCTGAGGCACTAGGGGTTAGGACTTCAACGTAGGAATTTGGGGGGCACACAGTTCCAGCTACAACAGTGTGTGAGGTAGCTATCCCTGTAGGAGCTTTGGCAAGGCAGTATGTGTTCTGGAGCCAATTCCCCAGCCAGTGCCTGGGGAAAGTGTCCTGTACCAGAGATCCAAGGAGGCAATTGTGGATGCTGTCCTGCCAGTCCCTACATCAGGCAGCCCTCACAGCTCCAACTTCGCAATATCCAGGGCAGGTCAACAGGGCTCCATGGCCAATTAAAACCACCATCATAAAAGCCCTGTGCTTCGTTCCCTGGTGCCTTCCCAGCCACACAAGCAGGCCCAGCAGGTACACTTTGTCTCTGGCACCCCCCATTTCCCTAGCCGCTTCCCTCTCCCTCCTGGAACTCAGCAGGCACTCAACACCCTCATGCTTGCAGCTCCCCACCCGAGCCTTTTCCCTTTCAAGGGGACTCTGCAGCGGGCTGGGCACACTGCACCGCACACTGCAGCGCCTTTAAAGGACTGGGTCTGGGACTCACCAGCATCACTTCCACTGCATTCTACTGGGCAAAGCAAATCACAAGGCCAGCCCAGATTCAAGGTGAGGTGAAACAGATTCCAGCCCTTGAGGGGAAGAGTGGCATACACAGAAAGGAAAGACAAACTGTTCCTGGTCATGGTTGCAAATAATTGACCCCGGTGATTAAAAGCGATATTCAAATTTATATACAAATCCATGAATGAGCCATAGTATTAGGATAGAAGTGAACCTTTGCTGGACACAAGCAACACTCCAGAAAAAATAAATCATAAAGCCCTTATTCATCAGAATATTATTAAAGAAGGGACATTAATTAAAACATGGCATTTACTATTAGATCTGGCTTTCCTCGGACATTGACAAAGAACCTGGGATAACCAATGGATTAAGGATGACTAATAAAGAAAACACTGAAAAGGACAAGTAAAATAAATACGTGTAAGTCTTAGATATCATATTAGTGTACCAGGGTTGCTATAACAGAATGCCACAGACTGGGGCCGGGGTTGGGGGAGGCTTAAACAACAGACATATTTTCTCCCAGGTCAGAGGCTGAAAGTCCAAGATCAAAGTGTGGGCAATTGTGGTTTCTCCTGAGGCTTCTCCTTGGCTCGCCCACAGCTGCTTCTGCACTGTATCCTCATACAGACTTTCCTCTGTGCTCATGCTCTCCTCCTATCTCTCCGTCTTCTTACAGGGGGTGCCTGGGTGGCTCAGTCATTAGGCATCTGCCTTCAGCTCGGGTCATGATCCCAGGGTCCTGGGATCGAGCCCCGCATCGGGCTCCCTGCTCAGCGGGAAGCCTGCTTCTCCCTCTCCCACTCCCCCTGCATGTGTTCCCTCTCTCACTGTGTCTCTCTCTGTCAAATAAATAAATAAAACCTAAAAAAAAAAAAAAAAAAAGGACGCCAGTCTTAC